TGTAAGCAAAGATATTGGTAGTCACCCCTGAAGAAAGGGAGCCCCCATTATACACACTGGGTTAATTGTCCAAAATATAGCTTAGTGATCAGGTATGACTCTCAGCCCATTAACAAAAATGTGCAAATAATATGGTTTTGCACTTCAAGTTTCTTTTAAAATACTAAAACATGAGGATAATACTAAAATTTCATTCCATTGGAGTTCCCCATTTTCAAGGGGTTGTAGTCTGATTTCCAGGGGGGTTACACAGTGCCAAGGAGTTGTTGGAGATGGGAGCTGCTTGAATCATCACATTGGCTAATGCCATCATTATCCATCATATTCTATTACCTCAAAAATCATAATTCTCTTTCAAAGTGTTCCCAGTTCCTGCTGGCATGGCTTCTCAGGAATTGGAGCCCTCTCGATAATTCTGTGACTTTCCAGGGCTACCAAAAGATCTGTATTTTTGACATGTTAATCTAGACTCCCAGAATTCATTTGGATTTTCAATCTATTGCATACTTCTCTGTTGAAGGAATATGACATCTGATTTTTTTTTTCCAGTCTGAGGGAGGAAAAGAGAAATGATAAGGTGGGGACAGAAGTGAATATTTCAAATATTGTCCAGACGAAGAAATTAGTGCACAATAATCCCTGCTCTACCTTCCCAGACCCTCTCCTTATCTGTCTTATGGGTTTAGGGTCTGAAGATCCAAACTACGAATATGGTTATACATGGAGTGGACACCTTTATGAGAAGAGGACCCATCTACGCCATCTGAATTCACTAGGATAGAGCCCTGGGACTATGTTCATGTCCTCTCAGAGGTTAGGCAAAACCTCTTCCTATGCACAAACTGTAAATGGGGGAGGGAGTCAGGCAGAAAGAGATCTAAACGTCCAAGATTCATATGGTAGTGCTTTCACTGTCAGAGCTTATGCACTGAATATGCTGTGAGACAATCTTGGTTTGTTGTACTTGTCCTGGTTTAGCAAGAAAGAGTTGAGTATATAAAAAAAAATTGTATGATAAACAGCTTTCTTTTATTGCTAAGTAACAAGTTTGCGTAAAAATCTAAAATCATTATATTGATAGACCATGGAAGGGAATTCAGCATGAAATGGAACATTGTTAGCCTCCTTTTTAGTTGTCCATTATAAAGTGGCCCCATACAATGCTAAATCTGCAGTTGCATCTGAATCCTATCCACTGTGAGTTATCCTTCCACAGCTATACTGAATTTCAGGCTGAAACACTATTTTATAAACGTTCTGATACTATCCTGTAGTAGAAAAGTTCTTGAAGCAGGACTTTTACAAGAGTATGAGAAGGGAGTTAGAAGGCTGTGGATCTTCTGTTTCATCTTTCTCACCTTTAAGCTTATTTTGAATAAAAAGTCTTTGACTGGCATGAGGAAAACAGCAAGTCCAATATCTACCTCCTCCCATACACACATCTATAAACAAAGCTGAGCACCAAAGGATTGATGCTTTTGAACTGTGGTGTTGGAGAAGAGTCTTGAGAGTCCCTTGGACTGCAAGGAGATCCAACCAGTCAATCGTCAAGGAAGTCAGTCCTGAATATTCACTGGAAGAACTGATGGTGAAGCTGAAAATCCAATATTTTGGCCACCTGATGTGAAGAGCTGACTCATTTGAAAAGACCCTGATGCTGGGAAAGATTGAGGGCAGGAGGAGAAGGGGTCGACAGAGGGTGAGATGGTTGGATGACATCACTAACTCAATGGACATGAATTTGGGTAAACTCCGGGAGTTGGTGATGGACAGGGAGGCCTGGCGTGCTACAGTCCATGGGTTCACAAAGAGTCGGACACAGCTGAGAGACTGAACTGAATTGAGCTGAATGCATACATCTCAGATACACCTGCAGATGCCATAGACATTTTCCCCATAATCAGATGAGATCCAGGCAACCATTTACTCCTGTCATATCTTATACTCCCAGGTCCTCTTATCCTCCAACTTGAAGACATAACATTCAAAAGCTGGCACTCCCCTTATTCCAAACCCTAGTTACCACAGTGGACTGATTGCACTGCCTGACTTGCCATTTCTGCCAAAACTCATTTCTCATTTTTTTTTTCTTTTTGTCCTACAACACAGACCATTTAGAAAATGTTGGGCTATTCAACAGATGTTTAGCAAAAGTTTGAAGCAGAAGGTCTGAAATATTTGTGGAGAATATCCTTGACTAGTTTTAATCTCTGACCAAGTAATGGGGAAAGTATATAAATAGCAGCAATTGGTTTATTTCCACTCTTCTTTTTCTTCCCCAGTCTTTACATAGTTTTCTTCCTGTGTCTCTCTTTTTAGGTAATAAATCAAAGAAGAGAAATTTAATCAAAGATGAAGTAGGAATGCTTAGTGAAGTGCATTCATATCCTAGGCTATGAGTGTTCTAAAGAATGGTGTATCATTTGAGTTGCTCTATGCGTTGCATCATTAGAGCAGTACATTAGAGTAGCTCTAATTGTTTCCTTCTAGAACTTCACATGAGAAAGTAAACTGTGAACCAGAATCTCTTTTACAAACAATTTAGCCTGACTCAGGCTCCTTTTTGAAAAAGCTGAGGAAGCTTCTTAAAGGAACTTTGTAGAATGGTCTCCTTCTATTGAAATAAATTCAGTAAGTAAAATTAATGCAAAAATCCAGTCAAAATGAAACTAAGGTGGTTGATGGGTGGATATTTGACAACCTGGCTATTGTGGTAATTGAGTTGAAGCTTTTATGAAATCATCTTATCCCCTTAGAATTACTTCACTATCAGGTTTGATTTTTTTCTTTATTCCAGTTATTACGTAGTAATTTCTAATTAAAGCAGAAGATCACTCAAGTGTGTAAAAAGAAAAGAGTAAAAGCAAACAAAATTATTTATTTTACTTATTTTATAAATAATTATTTCTTATATTTGTAGACAATTTCAAAAGCAGAAAAGGCTGTGCGTTTCTACACCATGGAAGGTATAACCATGGACCCAGTGTACAGTAAACAAGATGGTCATAAGTAGCTTATGACTACTTGAGTTTTATATAGCTGTCACCTGAAATTAATATATTTGTTGTCTTCACATAAATAATATTCATTTCCACTTAGGATGTAGAAAATTGAAAAAAAAAAAAAAACCTCCCTTACCAGAGTATACAAAGAGTTATATAAAAATCAGAATATATAAAGCACTTTTAAAATTCAATAATAATACAACCTGGTTTTGAAAATGGGTAATATATTTGATCAGACAACAAAGAATATATATGAACGGCCAATAAGCACATAAAAGGATATTCAACATGATTAATCATTAGGAAAACAGAAATTAAAATCACAGTGAGAAAATACTACCTAGCAGTTTGAATGACTCCAATCAAAAACCAACAAACAAAACCAAACAATATCAAATGCTGTCATGAATTCAAAGTAACTGAAATCCTTACTTGTTTCTGGTGGAAATATAAATTGGTATGGTGACTTGGAAAACAGATTTCCAGTTTCTTATAAAGTTAAAAATATTTTTACCATGAGAGGCCCAGCACTCTAGGTTATTCCCCAAGTGAAATGAAAACATAGATTCAGATAAAAACTAATAGGTAAATCTGTAAGGCAGCTTTATTCATAATCATCAAAAGCTGTAAACAACATCAATGTACACTAATAGGGGAGTGGAAAGGGAAAACATAGTTCATTCATATAATGAAATGATGCTCAGCTAGAGAAAAGGAGCAGACTACTGATACATGCAACGGCATGGATGCACTTAAAGGACATTATGCTAAGTGAAAGACTCAGAGGGAAAAAAAGACAACATTCTTTATAATTCCATTTATTTGACACTCTAGAAAAGATAAACCTAAAGTAAAAGAGGAGAGTGAAAACATTGGTTTAAAGCTCAACATTCAGAAAACTAAGATCATGGCATCCAGTCCCATCACTTCAAGGCAAATAGATGGGGAAACAGTGGAAACAGTGGCAGACTATATTTTCTTGGACTCCAAAATCACTGCAGATGGTGACTGCAGCCATGAAATTAAAAGACGCTTGCTCCTTGGAAGAAAAGTTATGACCAACCTAGTGCTCAATGGACATGAATTTGGGTAGGCTCCGGGAGTTGGTGATGGACAGGGATGCCTGATGTGCTGCAGTCCATGGGGTCACAAAGAGTTGGACACGACTGAGTGACTGAATTGAACTGAACTGATAGGGACAGAAAGCAAATCAGTGCTTGCCAAAGGCCGGGAATAGGGAGAAGGGGACCGAATGTAAAGCAGTATGACAATTTTTTCTGATGATGAAAATATTCTATATCTTCATTGTGGTGGTGGTCACCAGACTTTATAAGTTTTCAAGATTTAGGAAACTACCTACCTTTGTAGGGTGGATTTTACTATATTTGCTTTACATCTCAGTAAATCAATGATAAGAGAAGGATACAGAGGAGAAATGATCCATTTTGTCTGAACTAGGCATGACAGTCTAACACTTACCACACTGGATGGTTTTGTTCAGAAATTACTCATGGTAAGTTATCTTGTCTGAGAACACAGTGGTTGCAAATTGGCACTTGAATGCAGCTATTCAATTCATTCTAGATTTATTTCTTATCCTGTGAGCTTCATAGGACTTTTATTATTAATGAGGTCAACAGTCAGAGTATTAAGAAACACGAAGAAGTAAAACCTTCTTTAAATTTAGAGAATTTGATCATGAGCCCCAACGGCTGCCTCTTCTGGCTTTGGAGGATGTGGTGTGGGAAGGAGAGGATGCAGAACCATCGAGTTGATAGGAAAATGAACCTTATTGTAATTTTAATTTGAGCATCAAATACCTGTGAAGCATCTACACACAAATTTAATTGGGAAAGTCAATTGTCTCTACTAAAATCAAGCCAAACGTAACTTATTTTAAGAGCATGATTACTTTGAGGCTTTATAGGTAGACTGTGGAAATGCTAATGAGTAAGTTTACAGATTTGAACCAAATTATGTGTTTTGTGTTTTCAGGCTCAAGAGAATTGATTCAATCATACTAACAGATTGAAGAAGCAAACAGATATTGTGTGACAAGATGGCATGTATTAAAAAATTAAGAACAACTACATATTTTGTTTTTAAATTTTATTTTACTTTTGGTTTGATCAATGAGGGTACATAAAAATTCTGGCAACACTGGCTTTGTAAATATGTCTTCGAAACGGGATTACTCACTCTTCAGTCTGACATCTGTCACTCCCCTAGAACACAAAAGGACTGTGCAGGTTTGGGCAGCTTGTTAGATTGCTTTCAATGTTTATTTTCACCAATATCCAAATGTGTGAATATAAGAAAGTTAATGTTTTAGAAAACAGTTTGTCTTTGTTCTTTTATAGTATGCATGCATTTTTATATCAATCTGTTTCAGAATGAAGCATATTTTATCCAGACATGGTATGTTTCAAAGACTACAGTGTTGGTCAATGCACAAGTTTCATCATGTTGCATTAAGACCATAACATGAAACCAAAGAACCTGTAAACATTTTTATCTTACACTATTTGCCATACTGGATATTTATTCTTATTGACATAGGAAAGTAGAATTCATCATATATTTTAAAGTAAGAATTATTTGTATTTTAATACAAAGACCCAATGTTTGAAGGTACATAATTGAAATCACTTGTCTAGTAATTGAAATGCTTAATTATACTGTTGATTCCACATGCAAGTATAATTATATTAAAGCCTATTTCTTTCCTTTTGGCTTTTATTTGTTTGTAAAAATCACAGGTACTTTAGATAATGTTCAATTGCTTTGGTTATTAAATTCCACCAACTAAAAATTGTTCATTCAAAGCCATTTTAAATATAAAGAACTTTTAAAAGTTAGCCCTGAAGATGTAGTAAATTTTCAGGCATTTCCTCTCAACATTCAAATAGAAAATCTGTTCTCTGTTCACTTTTTAAATTAAAAATGAGAAGAGAAATGGAATTCAGACTCCAGTGAAAGCCTGCTTTCTGTGAAGAAAATGTATTGATTTTATCATGGTCTTATGAACATGTCAAGTGGTAATTAGGTATCTTCTGAACAACTTTCACAGGGTGATTTTGCAGGACTGGGGATCATGAAGACTGTAATGCTCTGAACAGTATCCAGAACTACTTCTAACACCTGCTTTTGAATCAAAAACAAACCAAAACCTGATAGACATGAACATATAGATGAAATTATATTTCACTAATTTTCAATATAGTTTTATTAATTCAATAGTAACATAATATTTTCATATTTGATTTGCATCTTTCATTAACTGCATGAATTGCTACACTGGAATAACACCCCCTTGACTAGTCTATCAAGTGATTTTCCAGCTTGGTTACCTAGTCAAACTCTATCCTGTATTCCTTCTCTCCCCTCATAGCAACCACACTCATAGAGGTCAGACTGCACAGCTTGTATTGTTCATTTAACACATACTATGTGTGTTATGTTATATGTGTTATGTTTAGCACACACTATATTTTTTATATTAATATCCTCAATTTCCTAGAGAGGGTCACTTTCTCTCCTACTGGTAAAACGCAAAAAAAAAAAAAAAAAAAAATTTATTTGCAGGGATTATTATGAGGATCCAATGAGGAAATTTTAGTAACCTTGTTTCACTCACTTTAAAAAGGCTTTAAAAACTTGAGATACTATAACTCAGTTACTGTTCAAACAGAAAGCAACCTAGCCATGGCCACTGAATCAGTTCAGTTCAGTCACTCAGACGTGTCCAACTCTTTGCCACCCCATGGACTGCAGCACACCAGGCCTCCCTGTCCATCACCAACTCCTGGAGTTTACTCAAACTCATGTCCATCAAGTTGGTGATGCCATCCAACCATCTCATCCTCTGTTGTCCCCTTCTCCTCCTGCCTTCAATCTTTCTCAGCATCAGGATCTTTTCCAAGGAGTCAGTTCTTTGCATCAGGTGGCCAAAGTATTTGAGTTTCAGCTTCAGCATCAGTCCTTCTAATGAATATTCAGGACTGATTTCCTTTAGGCCCCTGAATACATGTAAACTTTCTCCAGTTCCCAGGAGAAATTGATTCAGAGTGCACTCAGGAGGACTGCTTTGCTTTGATTTGTAATTTCAAATCCCAGGTGGGTTATTTCCTTGATGTTATAGACTGAACAGTCTGTGAGCTCAGGAACACATGCTGTGCCTATAGATTACATCTAGACCACAAACAGGCCTGAGAAGATTGTTCTTAGCCTCTTTCCCCCTGTATATCACCCTATTTCCAGTTAGCCTAAAGGAAGTGGGAGGAATCCTCACGTTATGTTCCCTCACTCACATCTAAGGAGAAAAGATCCAACAAAGATGGAGGTAGCTTTTAAACACTCTGTTCCTTCTGGTAAAAATATTTGTATCACTTTTGAACTGGAGATATAAATATCATATTCTCAGGAAGAAGTTTGGAAGAGTGTCAAATACAAGGTTAAAAAATGCTTCTTATAAGTTTATATCTCTCTCTGGCCACCTCTTTTCCACTCCATCCTCATTTGGAAACATCAACATATAAAATAGCATCATCCAGGAAGGATTCATGATGAACCTCCTTGAAAACCCTACATTCTTCAGCAGAACATATTCGAGATAAAAATGTGTTCAACAAACATTACAAAAATCAGATTTTTTCCAACTTTGCTTTTAAAAAAGATAATATTGATGAAAATCTGAACATTTCTCCTAATTTGTAGTCAGAAAACATGTAGTACAACTGGTTAGTATGCAGACCCAAAGGAAGAAAAGCTTCAAAGAAATTAGATATCAAAGAAAATATAGTTTATAATTTATGACTGCAGAGAACAAGTGTTGTGCAATGTTTAAGACCTAAGGCTCTAGAGTCCACATACTTAGTTTTAAATCCCAGTTCAATCATCAGCCAGCCATCTGATAACAGGCTGCTTTATTAACCTCCCCAAATCTCAGTTTCCTCACCTGTCAAATGGAATGTTACTAGTTCTTGACGTCATAGAAAAGTTAAATGAAAAGATGAATGTAAAGACTGTAGAACAAGACTTGACTCAAAAAGTTGTTAGCTTTCTTTCAGTTAGTGCTTATGGAACTAGAATTATATTTTAGCCTTTTATCAATGTGCATGTTTTCAAAAGTATATGTCACTCTACAATTAACCTTAGGTGCTATTTCTAATGGGCTTCCCTGGTGGCTCAGTGGTAAAGAATCTGCCCGCAATACAGGAGGTGCAAGAGACACAGCTTCAGCCCCTGGGCCATACACATGTTGAATGTTCTAGGTAGTAATCCAGTGAATGACATGGAATGAATTATTCCTGATAAGTTAGAACATACAATAAGGACAATTAAAACTAAAAAAAGATGACTTAGTTATCATTAATCATCTTGATAGGAAATATCTCTCCTAAAAAGCTCATATGATACACACACACAGAAGTTTTTCTATATAATACATATATTAGTTTTGAGTCAATCAATGACTAACTTATGCCAAACTCTTAAATGGATTGCTAAATAATAAAAGATGTTAAAGTCACCAATCCATGAAAAACAATTTAGTATCATTTAAAGGAGAAAAGACAGTAATTTTTTATTTTCCTTACTGACAATCAACTCTCCTGCAAAATCCATTTGATTAGAATGAGTGCATCACTTCTCAGACAGATGTAAGTGGCTATCAACACAACACAGTAATTAAGAGCAAGCTCATGAAATAAAATTCCTGGATCTAAATCTTGGTTCTGCTTTTAGCTTTGGAAACTTTGGCCTTTGTTTCCATATCTGTTAACTGGGGATAAAAATATTAGACTCATCTCATAAGGTTATTTGAAGGATTAAATAGACAATATTTGCTCTGGGCTTAGGACAGCATCTGCCATATAATAAATGCCAAAATATTAACTTAGCTGACTTGTCACCCTGAGGTTTATCTTTTGCTTTGGCTGAGTTTCATCAGTAATTGAAAGAGTGCTTCCAACTTCTACTAGGCCAGATTAAATAAAGATCCAGGTTTTGTCAATAGTGTGCTTAATTAAGCAGGCCAGATAAGAGTATCAATAAGCACTTGAGAGAGCCCTTGATATGGATAAACTTAAAGAGAGCTGATATGGAATGCAGGTAAATGACTAAGCAAGTGCTGCACTCTTCCAGATAATCTGTGGATGCATGGTTACTGTCTCATCGAACTCTGATGTATTTAAGTAATGATATCTTACCACTCCTTTGTACAGTTCTGGAAAATTTGGGCCCCAGTTTGTGACTACCAGAAGCTCATCTGCAAATCAACTGTTTGAAATTCAAAAGATATTTTTCAACAGGAATGATACTCTGAATTGTAGTTCTTAGGCCAGTCTAATGGATTCAGATTTTCACTGAAGAATACCACCCCATCAACTACGTTTGATTCTCACTTTTAGTATGCATTTTGTGTTTAATATGCCAGAAGTGAATATCTGTCTGCAATAGCAGTTCATTTGCCACACCAGGAAAAGACACCCTGGTTGTTCTAGGGTGCCAATAACTAATTTGTCAAATCCCCATTTCTGCATGAGATAATTTTCCCCCTAATTTCTGCACTTTTGCAGAAGAGGATATTTGAATTAAAAAAACTTATAGGTGGAATAGAGTTTACATTCCTTCTAGTCCATAACATCATATAGGGACTAAACTTCTTTTTATTCTTCCTCTCTCACTGTCTCTGCTTCTGAACTAGAGGCATAGCCAAGGAAGGAATCTGTCCTGCCCAAGAGTATGGCAGGTTGTGCTGCAGAGAGCAAGGCCCCCCAGACCAATGACAGTGTTTTCATGACTGTCCTTGCCTGTGCTCTTTAAGCTTCCAAAGGCAGTTAAAATTTTAGCTACTATTTCTGTAACTTCCAGTGACATTTGTCATATCAGTCCCTTCTCCAGATAGAATACTACCCTCCCTCCTATTTAAATGTCTTTCTCCACCACTCAGAAAAAAATATCACATTTAAAAAATTCCATCTTAATAGAAAATTCATTTCATCACTCTTTTCTCTATGGATCCAAGCATCTCTGGGATGTCAGTTTATAATTAAGGCT